AATAAAAAAGTGGAAGTGATAATAGAAATGAAAATTATAAAAAGTGCGGGTAAGAACATTAAATACTTCCTGATGGTCGATTTTCGACAAGTTTCTGCAAAAATACAATTTAGAAACATTTTCTTAATTTTTTTATGTGTACTAACGTTAGTAACATTAGTAACGTTAGTAATATTAGTAACGTTAGTAATGTTAATTTTTCTACCTGGGACGAAATAAAAATAATAGATCAAGTATCAAGTTATACAAAATAACAGACTAATAAAATTATTAGGAGCTATGTAAATACCTCATACCTAAAGGAGAGTAGTTACCAAGATTTAATCTTTTGATATTCGCCGAATGTAATTAAATCAAGTTCTTGATAATATCCTATGATAAGAAACATTTATAATAATCCATCCTAGACATAAAGTACATTAATGACTTTTATGGAAATCAAGTAGATCTGTCCATTGAAACAAAGATCAAGTTTCCATTTTTTTTTTTTTTTTCCACCACTGACTAAAGTCCATCTAAGCGAGAAATGCAATTACCTCTTGAGGCACCAAGAATATTAAACTGACATTTATATTAAAATTCACTTTTTTCTAACCGCAATTTTTTTTTCCTTTATTTTGTTTCACTAATTCTTATAATTTTTCAAAAATGCTTTAAGAAATACTTTCTACTATTTTTTTTTTCAATTTAAATTAAATTTCTTTTCAACTGGCAAGAGAAGCTTAAATGTCACAACAGTAATTAAATACAGTTGTAATTTACATTTCACACATAAAAAAAAGATAAATCGAAATGCTTCGATAATAATGAAAAAGTAATGAAAAATTGATTTATAAATTTTTGAATGACTCGCTAATAAATTTGACCTTTTACAAAGTGTAAATAATTGAGTAAAGAAATATATATCCATTTAACTATATAATTTATGATCATCTCTGTATACATTGTACATATATATATATATATATATATATATATAAGTAAAAACAACAGATGATGCGTTTCGTTAAGCAACCATCATCTCTGTTGAAAGGTTTAAGTCATTTTCAACTGCAATTGCGCGCGATGATCTGTTTTATAACAGTGCAAACGACGCCCCAGAGAATGTATATATGTTGATGGCTCGTTTTAATTTATAATTTATTGTGCAATGGTCGTTTTCATTAGCCGCAATCGTTTGAGTGCGTGCCGGAGATGATAGTGGAGGGCCATAGGCCACATAATGTGACATCCTGCCGTCAACCATATGTGCCTTTCTTTTTCTCGCATTCGTTCTCAAAGCAGTGTTTCTCCGTTTCTTTATATATATATATATAATAAATTTATTCCTCCCGACAAAATGGATAAAAGCGAGAATTTCAGTTTTCACGCTCATTTTACGCTAAATTACATGATTCGTTCTTCTTAATAATGTTTCTTTTTTTTTTTATTACTTGGAAACTCTCAGTTATAAAGATCAAGGCCTTGGTAATATTTTCCACTACTTTATATTTCTAAATTATATGACACTTGTTTAAAAAAAAAAAGGAAATTCTAAAGCTTTGAAAATAGAATGGAACGTAACAATTTTCAGAATTTTATATTAGAAATTCTTTATATGGGAGAAAAAAACACAGGAGATTATGAGAGAAATTAAATTGAGATTATTGACCCTTGGAATGTATTTTTATGATGATAATAATAATTTCAATTGAATCATCTTTTGAAAAAGGAACTTCAATTGAAAATGAATTTTAAATATAAAAACGCAAAGAAATCCAACAAAACGTGATACGAGTGTAGCATATGGGATTTAAAAATAGATGCTATAGAGCAGGTGTTCATTATTAAACAAGTATCTAAGAATTACGTGCAATAGCAGCTCATATTGATTCAAATAATAGAGAAAAATACCTCCTCACATGAGAAATAAAAACTAGATCTAAATAAAAACCAAGAAAACCTGACCTAAAAATATATTTAACTATAATAACTATTATCAAATAAATATTTATTTATATCAAATAAATAAAAATTATTTAGTTCGAAGAAATTGAATCAAATTTTTTTCTTCAATGTACAATATGATAAAAACAATGATTTAATAATTTGAATTCAAAAATAAAAATTTGAATATCTACAGTTGAGCACCTCATCATCTCTAGATTAATCCAATTTTCTAAGTGGTTAACATCTCAACAGCGGGTATCCACTATCCTAATCTCGATTATCCCTCTGGACCAATTGAATATGTTTGCCCTAAAGACCGGATGCTGTTAGATATTATTCTTGCTATGTGTGCATATGTGAATTCGTTCTTTAAACACATACACGCATTGCGGTACGAAAATATATAAATCCCATAAGCAACAGGACCCATGTGTATAGGACAAATATATATATACATATGTGTATGTGTGTGTCGTAAAAAGACTTGGAAATTTAACGAACGGATGAAACTACATTTTAAGCTTTATTGAACGATCCATAAATTTATCCCCACATAAGAGTTAAATTTTTCAAGAAAATTCCACATAAAAATGTAAGTTAAGTGCTGTCAGTACATGCACCTTATAAGTAGCTTTTTATTCATTGCGGTCGAAATGACGAAATAAACTTTACAAAAATGTATAAGCACCAAAGGGAGGCAAAACTTATTTACAGCTCATAAATTTTTTTTAATAAATTTTTTTTAAGAAAAATTCTTTAAATTCTTTTGCAAAAAATAACATTTTGAAGGAAAATAAATATATTTACTAAAATTTTTATAGAAAATTTCTTAAATATATTTTTTTTTTGTTATTTGATGAAAAAAATTACAGTGAAGAAAAATAAGTAATTAATAATAATTACTCAATACGTATATGCAAATTAATCAGACTAATTGTCTTTGAAGCTCGTTAAGAAATTGGGGTCATGCCCTTAAAATTCTGAAAATTCATTCTCAAGTTTCTTAATGAATGCAGCTAATTAGAGTATATAATGTATAATTATGTATGCGCGAGAATTAGATAGCGATAGCGTATTGGCAAAAAAAAAAACAACCTCTTTCTATATATATATACACGATCCAATCGAGTCTTTTCAGAAAATAGACGATTGTCAGCTGACACTTGAATGGACTGAAATGACACTAACAACTTTTATCGAAACATATCGGTGATACTTTAATCTCGTAATCACAAACAAACACACACGCACACATAGTTACCCAACAGTTGCAAATCTTTGAAAAGTCTTCGATAAATAAATTGATCATATTGCTATATTTATTTCCTCGTCAGAATATCGAGACAGTATATATTTTCTAGACTGGATCAAACGTCACCATAATATAGTTGCGTGAGAATGCAGGGACAATGATCAGAGCAAATGCGTGGGCATTATATATACATTTATAAGACAATACCGCAAACTATTTCTCACACTATTATTTTTGCCATCAAAATAATTTTTCCCTCCAATTTTTTTTTTCTATCGACATTTTGAATATTTCAAACATAAAAAAATGAAAACTATATGTCAATTTCGTAAAATATATTCAATCATCAAATAAGTGATAAATTATGCAAATTATTTTACATATGGGAAAAAAAAAATTTCACGTTATTCAAGTGTTTATTGATTCATTTCATTGAGAGCAGTCATTCTTAATAAAGATTCAAAAGATTTGAAATCAAGATGAAATATTTTCTACCTTTCGTGAAACTATATATGTATATAAAGAAAAGGGAAGAGTATATAGAAGCCTATAAGAGATCGTGTATACAGTGAAAGGTATTACCAGCACAGAGGTTGTCGTATGAAAAGACAAGACGTCGGCTCGCTACCAAATAATTAATAGCCGTGTCCACCTATTTTCTACGCGTTGGCTCGTTTACTATATAATACGAAAAAAAAAACTTGCTGGATCGAAGTCTCGTTTGAAGATATAAAGAGTAACATGTTCTTAAATACAAACGTTTACACAGTTACAGTTGAAAGGAGCAAGGAGACACAATTGCGAGAATTTAACTAATTAAGTTACCGTAAGAAGAATTTTTTTTATCAATATTCTTTTTGCCCTCATTCAAATATGTTTTTACAAGAATATTTCACAAGCGTCCATATAGAAAATAAATTGTATTACGCCCATGTTTACATTTTTTTTTTCAAATTATTCAAATTATATAGAAAATAAATGTTTCCCTATATAAAGGAATATAGAGAAGATAATTGATTTCAAAATCTACGAAAAAGCACGATTATTCTTTTTTTTTGAAAAAATATAGTGTTTTCAAATAAATGTCATTTTTTATCATTCAAATGAATAATTTATTTAAAGTCCGGAAAAGGTATATGATTAGAAAGTATAAAATGTTAGAAAGTATATAAATTATTAACCTGGTATTTATGATTTTGTGATAGTTGATATTACTTAACCTTTCGCGCCACGAAATAAGCATTATCGTCAATTACTGTCAAATCCGCCCATAAAGCTCAAAATAATTGAAGTAGCATTGCTATTATTATGACAACCAATAAAATAATTTTGAAAGGAGACTTTTCTATGAATTTATGACATTAATAATAAGTCATAGAAGATAATTGTCCGCAACATTTGTTTCAGAATTATTACAATTAAATGGAGAGGGGGAAAAAAATCTAAAATACAACAAAGCGAATTACAGATCTAATATGTTCACTGACAAAATTTGCTACAGTAACTAAAATTTTTTCTACACCTGCTAAAATATTATTGCAAAAAAATTCTCTGCCACAGAAAATCTATAAATTAATTCAGATTTATTTTTATATCCAAACGAAAATTTTTCAGTTTTGTAACTCTCTGAATAAATTCGAAATGTTAACACAATGATTTTCAATTTTTTTTTTCACACGTATTTTTTTTATGTTCACCTTTAAAGAATCTTATCTCTTTAATATTTTTCACCTTGAATCAACATGAAATGACTTGTCTAATTAAGGATCTCTGTATTGGTTAAAGGGTGTAAATAAAAGTGTATTCTTTTTTTTTCCAGCACGCGAATAACGTGCGAAAATCAGCGTCTGAATATGTGGCAAGGAGGCAGGCTCGAAAGATCATGACACGCTCGATAACCTCATCGTTGGCAGTTCCAATGAGCCAGTTGAGCGATGTGGCCTTTCTACCAAACGCGAAGGCCGGTACTTTCTTTGCACGGGACAACGTGTCCAACTTCATCAGTTGGTGCCGCAACAGTCTCGGTATCATTGAATGCCTTCTCTTTGAGACTGATGACTTGATAATGCGCAAAAACGAGCGGCACGTGATACTTTGTTTATTGGAAGTTGCAAGACGTGGTGCCAAATTTGGCATGTTGGCACCCATGTTAGTGCAAATGGAACGACAAATCGATCGTGAAATTGCCGCTGAAAATAAAGCGACCAATGGAACAAATAATGATGATAGCGATGATGAATACGCTGATATGCAACAGGAGGAGCCTTGTCTAATTTATGGACCTCAACCACAAATTGTCACCAATGATTTAAAGAGCCTCGACGAAATGGTGAGTATTTCTTTTTATAATTTTCCTATATCAATTTGAATACAAGTTGAAGACGAGAAACAACCGTGGGAATTATGTAAAATCAGTTTTTGTTTTGGATGCCATGGAAAAAAATTCTAGTCTCAATCTGCTGTTTTTTTGAAACAACAGATTTTCTGTTTCAGTATATGGTTGTTATGCAGAAGTAGACAAATGTTTAGAAGATTTTTCATCCATCCAAAAACAAAAATTGATTTTAAACTAAAATTTAGCTTCTTTTCTTCAAAATGCGTTACAAGCTTTTTGAAAAAAAAACCAAACCTGCAATTTTGAATTCCTGTTTATTGCAAATAAATACGCATTCTTAGAAGCAAATTACTAGAGTCATCGCGGATAATGTACAATTTCAGCACTGTCTATTCCAACCACACACAGTAGAGGATGAATGCAATCGGAAATGTGGGTGTATCGATCATTTATTTCTTGCAATGTGACCTACTCTCCACTATTTCTCTATAATATACTTTTAGTAACACCTAACTATTTTCACTTCTTTATCATATATATACAACTTATCCAAGTCCTATACTAATAAATGAAAAAAACTAGCGCACTCGGTTTTCTCATAAGCTTCATTATTTTTTTTTTCCCAATCTTTTTTCTTTCCTATATTTATATAGGTTTTAAGCTAATCGAAAAGAGGCCTGTGAGAAACATGGTAATCAATAACGTCACACGCCACGCGACGCGATGTCGATCTATAAAGTGCACACAATAGGATCGAGAGCATAGCTATATATACAACTCCGGGTCAAGAGTGTGCTTTGACTTGGGTAAAAGACAATGCTCAAGTTTTATCGGCGTGGGACAGGCGTGATATCGCCTTTGGCTTATTCTTCGATATATATAAGTTCTTATATAGAATGGATTTGAGAGCACGGTGACTTTACTATTTTTTTTTTATCCTTCTTAATTTTCTTCGTTTTTTTTTCATTTTTTTTTTCCACCCCGAAAAAAACGTGCTTCGTGCACGGATTCATTCCACAATAATTACATTGGCGTTTGGTTTTGTCGCAAGTGCACGACTCAATGCACCGATTAATCATGCGCCTTGTGCCGCGCGCTTACAATCAGACTTTGCTATCTTCGATGTTATTACTGTCATGAACCAAACGCCTGGGAGAGCTACTTTCTCCCCCTACTTCTCTCTCTCTCTCATTCTCCTCTTTATGGCAATCGCTTCTAATTTTCCTCTTAGGCCGACAATCGCGAACCATGTCTTATATATCCTTTAGTCTCTATTCTTAATCGAGACAATATCCTTAACTCGAAGCATTTTCAAACTGACAAGAAGCCGACGAGGATTTTAAGATAACGCCGGCATGCGTCGACTCACGCAGGAATTCAAGATTTCTTGGCTTATAGAGCCGATAGATAGAATAGGTATTGAGTGCGCAAAGAAGCTCCTTTCGATAAACGACTCGTAAAAGTTATATAGTCAGGGCTCGTTATTTCAGAAAGGGAGGGAATAAAAAAAAAGAAAAAAGAAAAGTATCAGCGAGAGGCACGCGAGACACATATGCGACCAATCTATTGCGACAACTCTTCTTAGTGTGTAGGTATACCGGATTTCAGATGAAATCAAAGATCTCGAATCGATCCGCGTACGGGCAATTAACGTAAGCCATATAATAAGGAGCAGCGTCAAGTTCGCAAAAGAGAATCGCGACAAGTTTTTTTTTTACCCCATTTTACACACACATGTATTTTTCCCATAAAATTCAATTTTTCCAATCTCCTTATCAGATATATTTTATTGCTCTTATATTATTAATCTATAAATAATACCTTCCATTATCAGTTTTTTATTATTTTCTCGCACAAGAAAAAAATTTGTTTGAAACAAAACTTTTCTCTAAATGGAAAAAGTTGAAAATTAATTTTCTTTAAACTAAATCATAAACATAATAAAATTGATATAATGGTTAATTATGCACAATATATACTATTATAATAATATATGACGTATTAAGAATTCTTTAATATATGTAAATTTCATAACGCATTTATTTTCTCGACATAATATATCGAAAATAAATATATGATAAAATCGATTGATTTATCGTAACCGGTTATATCAATATAGATAAAGAATTATAACTGAAATTTAAGGGCAATTTTAACATAATTTTCTATTAACTCAAATATATATATATATTTCAAAAAAGAATTTCAATAATAAAATGTTCATTTTTAAAAAACGCTGAATTAATTTTTTTTTCCTTTTTTGTTATTCTCATCACCGAAAACTAAGTTCTACTTTTAATTCAGAAGGCGTAAACGCACCTACGTAAAATTTAACACACGCAGTGCGACTACACAAACTGAAGAATTCAGGAAATTCTCTTTCTACTGAGGAGGATTCCAAAGCGTACGATGAAAAAAAGGGGAAAATAGAGATGAGAGTCAAAAACAACAAAAGTAAAAAAAAAAAAAGTGAAAAAAAACCGTATATGCTCATTAAAAAACAGGCAAATCTTGTACAAGATAAACTTGAATGTCAAAGAAAAGCGTTTCACTTGCAGCTGCAACTTCCTATAGAACTTGCGAGAATGCAACTTCTCTAACTGCATTCGCTTCTTTTATTGACAAAAAAAAATAGGATTAACTTCACACTCTCTTGGATTCAAAAAAATTAAATACATACACACATTCGAAAATATTTTAAGCTGATTATAATTTATATCTCTTGTAACTCGAAATTAAAAGTTCTGAAAGAGAATAAGTTGGTGAAACGAGAAAAAGGAAAAAACCTTTCATTTATATGAAAATTTCGCCATATTTTCCATGAATTGAAAATACTTTTATTAAATTTGATATTTATAATTTTCCATGCACTGAAAAAACATTTATTTGATTCAAATAATCTTGACTATTATATATCAAATAAATATTTCCTTGAACCAAATAACTTTTACATATGAGTCAATTAAATTTTATTTGTTTCTTGTACAGAAATTATTTATTTAAATACAGTTGATTTGATTCAAATAAATTTTTTTCAGTGTAAAAAAATAATTATAATTACACAAAAATAACTTATATCACAAAAATATAATTAATAATTCCCATAACAGTTAAAAATAATAATATAAGCAATTTTTCAAGCATATCGCGAGATGCCGGTTTAATAAAACGTGATCAGATGTTTCGTTGATTAGAAACAATACGTGACACAAAGAATGACAATTTCAATAACGAGATATAATTTACGAAAAACAAAAGAATCACATTAATGTGATTAAGAAATATATTTATATATAAATATATAGTATAAGACACTTTGCAATGTTCAAAAAGATCCAAGATTTATGGTTTAAAACTTAATGGATAATACGTGTTTCTCATTGAATTCTTGTGTTTGACATGCTTCAGAGAAATACTTCCGCAACGAAATTTTATCTAATCATTCATGAAGAAACAAAAAAATCATGAAACATTCGTCCTTACGATAACGTGAGGCGTAATATTTTCATTTTAAGCCAACATTTTCCAATAGGAAAAAATAAACTCACGTGTGTATAACCATTTACACGTGAACTGTCTTATACATTATTATCTTATCGCGTTATAGTAAGATGCGAATCTAAGAGGGATAACGACTGTCCACAATGAGTCAATTTTCAAGACCGATTCACACACAAATTCTACGATAAATATATATTATATCATAAGTTTTTGATTGAAATCTACATAATACGTGGAGAGAAAACAATTTTCCTAGAAAGTTTGAAAATTCCTTTTATGCGAGTCAGAGAAAAGATAATCGACCCCAGCTAGATATATAATATATATATCAAGAATATTATCGAGAACAAAATATGACAAATTTTTCCAATAAATTTTGAAAATATGACAAATAAACTGAAAAATAGAAAAACAGAAAAGAATTGACAAGTTTAAATTGTTAAATAAGAAATTATTACAACGAGTTAATTTACTTGTATAAGATATGTTACCGCTAATGAGAGATGAATTCGAATATGCGTTCACGAAAAAAAAAAAAACGTGGAAATCAATTCGTCTAGACATTCACGTTCGCGTGGATTTCTATAAAAATTCTCGACAGTCGTAACAATACTTATGGGATATTCTATAGAGCTTACACGCAGAAGCCATCGGCCTTACATTGTGAGCTTTCGCCTCGCAAGCGCCAAAAGCTCGTATTGATCGTTCCCAGCCGTTTCGTGTCAAGTTCAAGCGCAATTTCAATGGGAGTTTCCTCTAAATGTTCACTTTTTTTCAATTTCCTATAGAACTTGAAATTTTTTTCAAAAAACTACATAAATTTTTAAATCAATATCGTATTTCTTTTATTTAATTTAATCGGCTTAAAGAGCAAATCCGATTATAAAATTACATATAACTTGGCTCGTCTCATATTCGATAAGTTATCGTAAGTGTTCACCTATATATATATCATATTTATATTAAAAAAATAAAATAAACTTGCGACGCAAATAGACCGATCACAATATTAACGATCATCGTGTGGAAACTGGAATTACTGTTTTGCATTTTTTACAATATAATTTACCGTCAAGATTATTTCTCAATCATTTCACAACATATTTTATATATATATATATTTCTCTCTCTGTATTTTATTCATCAAACCGTTGCGCAATTAATTTCAACTACATTATTAAATTGATGATAATGAACATAATACTAAAGAAAAAAGAGAAAAAGAAAAATTATTAAAAAATAATTATTATTACTAATAATTATTTATTTAATTTATATTATTTTTTCTAATCATTTGCGATATTATTAACTGGAAGATTGTCAAAAATATACCCAACAAGTAACTAAATGAATGCCTATCACGTCAACCGTATTTAACAAAAGTGTCAAATAAGAATATGGTGAAGAAAAATAAAGATCTGATAATGTCCGATTGACACTCTAGCGGGATAAAATTGTCAATTGAAAGTCAGGAAATGAAATGTTGTTATTTC